GCTTGATCCAGAGTCTTCAGCATCAATGTTGAAAACTTACAGAGCTATCTATTAAGAAGATTCATTTACTGCTACAAGTATTTTGAATTTTAACTAAAAACATACTTGTTTGTCTTGCTCATGAATAATTCCCATTTTGTTCCATTCCGTATTAATGTCTCATAATTCACTTACATACGAAACTTTGCATCTTAGCTTTTAAATATTGATTCAATTCACTTGATTTGAAACTATGAGTGATGAGTTTCCTTGTTTTGTTTCACTTCAGTTGTATATTTTACACTGGAATACCATTGTCTAAATAATAACTAGGTTTTATTTTTCATAAATTAATGTAAAAGACTAAAAATTTCTATATCTCACTGTTGGGGATGTTAGATCCCCAGAACTCGCTTGATAAATATCTTTATTTCAGATTTATTTCATGGACCGAGCAGTTCACCTTGAGATCACATTTCCCACCAGGAAAATCCTTGGCTGGGATTGGTTGCTGTATCATTTCAGTGTGCTATTTTTGTGACTGTTCCAAGGACGTCTCTATGGTGTATAAATAAACGCGATTTGAGTGCTTGTTTTCATTGTGTGCTGTCTGGAAGCTTGTAGAATACATTTTCTACTTCTTACTGTTACAATTTGCTCAGGTGATCACAGTGACCTACCTGGACGCTGGTTGATTGTTTTGTTCTCGTTATTCGACTAAGGAGAACTCGTACTAGTTTAAGCATACCTAGAGACGAGCATAACATTCACATAACAACATTATTAAATTATCATAAAACCAACTAATGGTAAACTGTTTACACTTAAATGTTCTTTATAACCTTGAAGGAATTCAAATATGACCTTGTTCAATAAATAATCCATTAATTTTCATTGTTTATTTTCGTGATTAGTGTTCACTGACATCTACATATGTCCTTCAGTAGCATTCATTCAGAGAAATGAGCTTACAATGATTACTTTAAATGTACTTAAAAAGTCACAGCTAGCTAACAGAACTATTTTATTCACTTTTGTAAGTCTGCAATTTAAACAATTTCACGGTGTTCATTAAGAACTTAGCTTACATTAAGTACAGTTTTTAACATCAATCTATACATCAATTGTAAAATAGTTTTATCAGTTAGTTGTATTCTGTCAGAAATTAATAGTTAGAAGTGTACTTCTCTAATGAGCAAGAATTTTAAGCGATTAATTTGGTGAATTATAAATATTGTCTTCATATATACTCTGATTATTTCATTCTTGCGGTCTCATTTTTTATCATTGTTAAACGTGATGAGAAATTATTGAAAATATGTGTGTCTTTAAAATTTAAAACCATAAGTTCCTTTGATAAATTTCAATAGTGTAAAGAGAAGTCGAAGATTATCTGAACTATGTGATGTGTTAGCGCACATGTACTTGTTAAGAGAATTTTTTTGTAGGAAAATAAAAGGTCAACAAATCTTGATATTATCTTGTTGAAACCTGATAAAGGCTGAAGTGTAGTTATTATGGACAAGTATGACTATGAATGTGTAACACGTTGTTATCCATCTTCAATGACGGAAGCAAATTTTTGCCTGATATCGAATCTGAAGATATTTGTAAACCAGATGAAACTGCTAGACAAGATTATTGCTGATACAGAGAAATCTAATTTTCTAAAACCTATGGGCTTTGAATAACCTCATTTAAATGAATTACCTTGAATTTATAAATCAAACATACTTTTACACCGAATTTTATTAATGTGTAGATTACCTACACGTAACTTGGTTAAATGGTTGACGAAAATGTTGATTCCTATTCTAAGGCGTTTTGTAGGTGTTCTCGGGAGGATCGTTCAGGTGACAATGTTTTCTTTTGATGTGAATCCCTTGTTCACAAATGTATCGTTAAAAGACCATTGACATTCTTTGTGACTATAACTTTGAACAACTTTACACTTTAACAATTCTTAAAGATGTGTTACTGTTAGACACTGACAAAATCCAGTTCACATTTGAAAGTGAATAATATAGCCATATCGATGGTATTGCCATGGACATTCTGTTGGAATCATTATCAGCCGACGTGTTTATGTTACATGATTAAAATTTAGCTTAAGACTTATTGAAAATAGTTCACCTTATAAGAGATACCTAAGTAACTTCTTAGTTACTTGTTATGAAAAGGAGAATATGCACTAATTTCCGAATAAAGTTAACATCCATCAAAACCTCATCAGTGTTTCGTGTGTAGAGGGGAAGAACAACCAGCATCTTTCACTAGAAATACTCATTAGGAGACAAGGACATGGTTCAATCAAATGATCAATTATAAGAAGGCAGACTTGAAACGGTCAGTTACTATAGTTAATGTCCAGTTCAATGCAAACAGAGTTTGATAAAGACTAATCCATAGGATCGACGGTATTTGTACATGTGACCCTATCGAAAACGAAGTGAGGCTGTTGAGCTTTGATGAAGAATGGTTACCCTTTAAAAGCCATATATTGATGAAGATATCGCAGTGTAGTGAAAACTACTACATCTTCTACACAGAAAGAGCCTGTTTACCACATCGCCAGCATTTAGAGGTGAGTCAAGTAGCCTGAAACTTAAACAAGGGATGAAAACTATTATCTGCAAAACGAAGTTCGCTGCAAATGTTATTATCATAGAAAAAACAAGGTTCATACTTCATTGAAATTCTGATCGATCACATCACACCCCATTGTGTTTATCAATTTGAATGTGTGTGTGTATGGCCACATATACATAGAGAGGAGTAATCGTGATTTGCAAATTAAGGTGTCTGAACTTGTAGCTAAATTGTTCCGAAAACAATACGAGTGGATGATAAACATTTATTGTCCTCTATTGCCAAACACAAGGTTGAGACAGATAATAAGATTGATCTTAAGTTGACTTTTGTTGTGTTGTATAAAGTGTTCAAGGACGTCTACTAATTGTTATTGAAGTCTTTGCCATATGAAAGTCTAAACACTATGTATTCAAAAACAGTTTACTCTCACCCTAAACCCACCTTAGTAATCTTGTGTTATTTTCCATAGTCGTGACTTTCACATTGTTTTTTCACAGTAATTTTCTTTCTCAACTCCATCTGTCTTGTTGACCTTTTATTTTTCACATAAATGTTGTGAACAAGTATTAGTTGTATGATCGGATTGTTTGAAATGTACTGCTCTAATATATCACACAGTTTTGATAATCTTCCTCTTCTCATTAAGCTATCCAAATTCTTTAAAATCATTTTGTCGATGGCTTTACGAAGATTGGTTTTAATCATAGGTTGTCATAGTCACTTGAATTATTAACGAAAACTCGCGATTTCAATCACGAAACCTAGAAACACTGGATGGCCGTTTCGTCCTTGTACGGGGATCGTCAGCGTAGAATGGAACCTTCTCAAAAATATCTAGAAAATGTAAGATCATAATCAAGGTTTTTGATTGGATATTTATCCATATTGCTACTATATTAACTGTGGCTACAGAAATTTCCGGAAACCCAGGCGTTGTATGTAACTCTACAAATGCCTTTGTTCTTGTGCACACAAACTAACCTTGGGGTAAAGCTTTTCCTCTCAAATGTTCCAGCTGATGTGTAAAATTTAATGTTTATCGGAACCGGCTTCGAATACAGTTCAGGTGTATAAGTAGCACGATTTATGAAGAAGTAGTGCGGAAGACAGTTAAAGTCA